ATAGCCATGGAAGAGGCAGAGCTGAAAGCAGGGAAGACCCAGCAGATCGACTGGGGAAGGCAATGCAAGGGGGGGGGGAGGAGGAGGCTCCTGGGCAGCAGGGATTGGGGGTGGGGTTGGGGAGACTGCCCAGTGCTGGATTCAGGTATAAAACAAAGAGGTTTAGGGCCTCATAAAGTTGCAGACTTTTCGTTGTCGCTGTCTTTAGATTCTTGTGTGGCTTTTTGGGTGTGTGCTGTACTTTTTAAAATCTTGTGTAGCAATTTCTTATGTATAATTTTACAAAGACTTTAGGTGTAAGCGACACTTTAAGGCCAAATGCTCTCAGCTGTACCAGAGAGAGACCTTCGGAGAGCAGGTGCTCCGCCTCCTTTTGCAGTGACGGGAGGGGGGGTCTGCTTTGGCACGCACTTGGGGGAGGGGGGCATCGGGTGTGATTTTGGCACAAAAGGTCCAAAATTGGCTGAGCCTCCCAGGAGAGCGGGGGCAGGGAGCCCTGCTGGCCGGGGGTCCCTGGAGATGCCCCCCTCACTGCTCCTGGCCAAGGAGAAAGGGGCACCTGCAGCTTCTCTGGCTTTGCACTGGGAGGAGCTGGGGGGGCTTGCCAATCCCATTCTACCCCCCCTCCCCAAAGCTTCCCCAGCCAGGAGAAGAGGAGCTCTCAGTCCTTGAGGGGGGAGCTCATTCTGGACAGCAGACTCTCCACTAAAGAAGCTGGCACAGCCCCCCCCCTCCCCGTTCACCCCCCTCCCGCACTCCTATTCCCACATCCACCCTGCTGGCATCCCCAGGACTCCCCAGGGAACTTCCTCCTCTGTCCTGCTTTTGGGGCACGGTTCCTCTCCCGGGGAAGAGCCAGGATTGATGCAACCAGCGATGGCACAGCCCCCCCCCCCCGCAAGCTTTGGCACAAGTAGGGGCTGGGTTGCTTGATTGGGGGGGGGGGCTTCCCAGCCCCTCAGGTGACCTCCTCTTTCCTGAGCAAAGTGGCCTCCTGGCTTCTCGGGACGGAGGCCACTGGCCACCCACAGAAGAACCCCTCCCCCCGCCTGGCCTGGAGGAAGCACTGCCTGCAAGTGTCCCTGGGGAGCCCAAGGGGGCCCTGAGGAGGGAGGGGGGAGGGGGAAGCTCTATGTGACAATCAGGGGGGCAGTGGGGATCTTGGAGGGGGCCCAAAGGAGAAGAAAGAGAAGGCGTTTCTGCTTGGGAAGCTCCCTCCTCAACTATCTGGGACGGGCAGCTGCAGGAAGGGCCTCCGGCAGGGGTCTTTGCCTGCCCGACCCGGTCCAGGTCTCCACCGGAAGGGCATCCTCAGTGCTGGACAGACCAGCTTCCCATGGGGTCCCCTCCCAGGATGGCCCCAGGATCCTGGTCTTGCGCCCTCCCGAGCCCTGGGCTCAGAACTCGCCCATCTGCCGATGGGACAAGAAGGCAGGGTGAGGCCGGCTCCCCCCCCCCCTGGCCTGGCTGGAGAGGAGGGCCGGGGGTGGGTGGGTGGGGGGTGCGCCTGGCTATAGGAGGGTGCAGGGCTTCTTGTCCTTGAAGGGGTTTTCCGAGGTGGGGAGGCCAACAAGCAGGGGGTCGTTCCTGGCCTGCTGCTCGCAGTAATTCATCAGCTCCAGGGAGGCCTTGGAGACCTGGGGAGGGAAGCAGCCACGTCACCAACTGACCTCCACCGGCCCTCCGAAGCCCCCCCACCCACCACTTGCCAGAGCCAATTTTAGCCCAAATGGAGGAGGAGGGGGGAGAGCAGGAATGAGCACTGCAGGGCTCAGGCATGGGGTTTGGGGGTGGGCTGAGCCCTGCTCTGGGGGGGGAATCCAAATGTCAGCTGAATACCACCCTGCCCCCCCCCAGGGAAGGCAGAAGCCACCAGGTTCAAGGCTCCCACTAATCCTCATTTCCAAACTGTACCCGCATCCCCCAACCCCCCCCCCACAATTCTGGAGCTGATGTTCTGATGGGGGGGAGGCGGGGGCTGACTCTCCTCTCTTGCACGGCTTCCCCCCCTGCTCCTCAAGAGACCCTCCTGGCCTCCACAGAAGTGGGGGGCCAGACCAGACAGCCTCCCCCGGGGGACACAGGGACCCACAGGGGATAATGGCAGCTGCACTGAAACTCTTCCGAGGACCAGGCTCTGGGTTACAAGGACCCTCCCTCCCTCTTTCCCTCCCTCTTTCCCTCCCTGCCCCATAACCACCTGGGGCCAGACGTAGGCTGGCTTCTCATAGCCTCTGAGCATGCGCAGAGGCATTCTTGGGCCAAGGAACAACCGAGGCAGGCAGGCCTCTGCGCTAAGAGGTGCTCTCCCTCTTCAGTGGGTGGGTGCAACGTCCCCCCCGCCTTGTGCTGAGGGCCTAGAGACCCTCCCCCACTACGGGGCCCCTGGTGCTTTCTGGGGAGGCCCTCTGCTTGCAGAACCTCCCTTCCCAGGCTGCTCAGAGCACCAGGACCCCCCACAAGTCAACCTTGAGCCCGAGGTTGCCTTCTCTCTGTCCCCCTCCCCAATTACCAGGGCACCTGCCCCTCCCCTTCACCAGCTCCCCCACCCCCGGGCTGCCTCCCCAGAGCCCACCTTGATCCTCTCCATTCCGGCCTCGATCCGCAGCTGCTCCACCAGCTTCCTGGCCTGGGCGATGTTGTTAGTGGCCGACATCGTCTGCCATGGAGGGGGGGAGGGTCGTCCACCAGCACCTGGATGCGGGGAGAGAAACACCAGAGAAAGGGACGCTTGGCTCCTGCCCTATTCTGCCCCTCTCCAGGGGTGGCAGAGGGCAGAATCTCCCCCTCCTCTCTTTGGAGACGGGCGCCCGCCTGCAAGTGCAGCCCCGGACAGCTCGGCTCCTTCTGCAGCTGCATGAGGGCCACAATCTCCACCAGGTGAAGATGTGGAACCTCCTCAGGCAGAGGCAGTCTATCTGAAGAAAGCAAACGGGAAATGGGACTGAGAGCAAGGCAGGGAAGGCTCTGGCGAAGGCCCGGAGAGGGAGCCCGAGGGGGCGAAGGGCAGAGAAAGGCACCATCCCTCCCAAGGGCGCAGGGTTGGAGGGGCCGCCGCCTCCCTCCGGGCCTGGGTCCCACCTCCAGGGGGCTCCCTCTGCCGCTGCCTTCCTTGCAAGTCCCTGGCCCGCAGGCCGTTGGGGGGCAGGGACGCCGGACGCTTGTTAGCGGATCCCGGGGCGCCACCTGCAGCCCTCCGGCCGGCCAATCGCCTTCTGGCCGGCAGGACCCGCTGCCTCCTTCCTCCTCCTCCCCTCCCCCTCCGCCATAAAGCGGGCCCAGGTGCGGCCCCTCCCGCGGAGAGCGTCGGCCGAGCGGGACGAGGCCGGAGATGGCGGGTAAGAGGCCGCCCGGCGAGCGGGACGCCCCCTCCCCGTCCAGCCCCGCCGCAGTCCGCTCCCCGCCTCCCTCCAGCCGGCTCGCTTTGGCGGCCTCGGGGGCAGCCCGCTCCTCCAAGGGCAGCTACCCGCCCACGCTGACCATGGTCACCGAGGCCGTCGGGGCGCTGAACGAGCGGAAGGGCTCCTCCACCGCCGCCATCAAGCGCTACATCCGCCACAACTACCCCGGCGTCGACCCCGTCCGCCTCAAGTACTACCTGCGCAAGGCGCTGCTGAAGGGGCTGGAGAAGGGCTACCTGGTGCGGCCCCTCCACTCCTCCGCCCAGGGCGCCACCGGCAGGTTCAAGGTGAGCGAGGGAGGGAGGGAGGGAGGGAGGGCTCCGTGGGCGGAAGGGCTGGCCGCCCGCAGGCTCCCGCGAGACCCCTCCCCTTGTTCGGCCTGGGGCTGCTGAGTCGCCCCCCCCGGAGCCCACAAGCAGCGTTGGGGTCGGGCCTGTTCTCTGGGGTGCCTGATGGCCCCCTGGCCCCGAGGGCACAAGGGGCTTTTCTGCCCAAGCCTCACATGGCTCCCAGCCCTTCTCGGAGCCCTCGTCCCTGGATGCCCCCCTACCCACCCCCTTGGCTTCTCGGGGGGACCCTAGAGGGAACCTCCTCCCCCCCCCCCTTCCTGCTTGGCTAATGAGGAGCCGGAGACATCAGCCTTGCCTGGACCTGTGCCACTGGGGCTGGGGGCGTTTCTGTCCTGTGGGAGACGCCAGCCGCTCCTGCTTGGGCCTGGCAGAGTCCGGCCTGTGACCGCAGAGGCTTTGGAGGCCCCCCCCCCCGAGTGCCCCCCTTGGCACTGTCCCCTTTGACCCCTGACTTTGCAGTTGGCAGCCCAAAAGCCCAAGAAGGAAAAGGCGAAGAGGGCCCAGCCTGCCCAGGGGGAAGGCCCACCCCCAAAACCGGAGAAGAAGAAGGCGGCGGTGGCAGCGGCTGAGGGCAAGGCAAGGGCCGAGAAGCCCAAAGGTAAGGGAGCCCCCTCCTCATGCACCAGCTGCCTTGGGAGATGGCACTGGGGGGGGGGACGGAGGGTGGGGGCTCCACGGCGCCACTGCCAGAAGCTGCACTGATGGGTCTGGCAAGAGGGCAGCGGAGGGACTCGGGGGCCCGTTCTTCGCCCGGTGAGGGCCCGGCTGCAGCTTCTGCCCAGTGGGGGGGGTGCTCATCCTGCCTCTCCCAGTAGGTGCCAAGGGCAAGGAGAAGGCCCCCAGCAAGAAGGCCAAGGCTGAATCCGAGCCGGTAGGTTCTCCGGGAAGTGGGGGGGGGGGCTTTATGCAAACAGCCCCAAGCAGTGCGGGGAGCTCAGCCCTTCCCTTGCCCCCCAAGTCCTGGGGAGGGGGGTTGGCCTCTGGCAGGCGAGAGGGGCTCCCCCAAAGTCCAAGGGTTGCAGCCCCCCTCCCAGCTCTTCCAGTGGCTCCTTCTGGGGCTCTGCCTCTGGCCAGCTGATTCCGGGCAGCATCTCCAATGGTGCCTGCTGGGGGCCCCTGCATGTGCCCCCCAGACTAGTCCAGGGCCGAGCGCGTCCGTCTCCCTGCAGGTCCTGGGGGCAGAGCCCGTGAAGCGGAAGCCGAAGGAGAAAGCGGCAGCCGAAGGAAAGGCTCCCAAGAAGCCCAGGCCCCCCAAGACCCCCCAAGCCAAACTGGCAAAGGGCCCCTCCAAGGCGCCCCCCAAGACGGTCACCAAGGGCAAAGCTCGCCCCAAGGCAGGAGCGGAAGGGGAGGCCGAGCCCCCCGTGGGCGAGCGAGTCAAGGCAGCCAAGGGCAGCCAAGCCAAGAGCCAGTCCGGGGCCCCCAAGGCCAGAGCCCCCAAGGCCGGGGGCCCCAAGGCCGGGAAGAAGGCGGTGGCCAAAGGCAAGAAGGAAGCCGAGGGGGCAGCGGCTCCAGAGAACCCCTGAGCTCCACGGGGTCAGCCTGCAGTGCCACAGGGAACCCCAGCAGAGCCCCAGCGGCTGGCAGAGGCTGAGGGGGGAGGCAGGTGGAAGGCTGGGCGGTTTTAACAGCATTTTAAGCCCTCGGAGATGTTTTTCAATAAAGGTGTAACATTTGGCAAGATAGCAACCCCCTGGGCTGTTTTTCCTGATCCTGGGCTGCCAGCAGGGAGGATGAAGGGACCGGAGGCTGAAATGATGAACCAATGCAGCAGAGAAAAGGCTCAGGGCAGACAGGACAGCGGCAATGTCCAATATTTGAGGGGCTTCCNGCCTGATGGGAAGGAGGCTTATGTCACAAGCTCCCAGCCACCCTTGGATGAACGGGATGCCCAGGGGTGGGGGCTTCATGTGAGAATCCTGGGGCGGGGGGGCCTCTCCTGCAGAGCTGGCTGAAGGAAAGGGGCCCCCACCCCCGCCCAGGAAGTGGTCTGTGTGCAGACGGGCCCCGGCAGCCCTCCAACCAGGGGGCCGGGGGGGGCATCCTCCGAGAAAAAGGGGGCCTTTAGAGGCCAGCCCAGGCACCCCTAGTCACCCCCCTACACACACACACAGCTTTATGCCCAACAGAGACCAGGATCAAAGTGGGCTCAGCAAAGGGCCCCATGACTGCCCCACAAGACCCACCCACAAGCAGGGGAGGGTCCCTCTCCCTCCCTCACAGCCTCCGTCCCCATTTCAGGCCAAGGAGGCAGGGGGGGCCCAGGGAGGCCTCTCCGTGTCCGGGGGGGGGAGAGATCCTCTGGGCGAGGGGAGTTCTGAGTAAGGAGGGATGAGGGCCCAAGGAGGGTCCTGCCTCGGGAGGTGGGGGGAGGCGGCCATGGGCCCCTCCAGCTTCAGGAGCCGCTGGGCCTTGAGAGAAGGGGTTCCTTGCTACGGAGCTTCCCCCCCCCCACAGCCAAAGGGGAGGAGGGGGGCCTGTGGAGCGAGGTCTCCCTCAACGGAGCCCAGTGGCCGACTGGACAGCCGAAGCGCGAGAGCCAGAGGGCATCCAGGGCTGCTTTGCCCCGTTTCCTCTCCCTCCCTCTCTCTCCGGAGATGCATCCTTGATCAGAATTGGGGGTGGGGATCCCCTTCCGCCTCCCCCCAGGGAATCCTCTGCTTGCTGGAAAGGCTCCAAAGGGGGCCAATGAGGCCGCAAGGGACGCAGCCCCCTCCCAACCGAGGCCGGCAGAAACCGCTTCCAGAGCCAACCTTCTGGGGGGGGTGGCCATTGGGACCCCCCTCCCCACCCCCTTATGCAAGGAAAGCTGCAGCCGGCGGCCGAGGACAGCCAGGGGCACCTCTGAGCCAAGCCGGGGGGTGATGCCCTCTGCCAAGCGCCAAGCAGCAGCCGGCTCACCCTTTCATGGCTGCTTGGGGAGGGGCTGTACTGGCGATGGTAAGTGGAGGGCTGGCGCTCTTCATGGTGGGACGGGGGGGGGGAAGAGCAGGAGGAGCCCACTATGATTTGGTAGCCCAAGCAGCCCCCTGGCACAGCTCAGAGCCTTTCTCTGCTCTGGAGGTGCCACCAGGAAAGTTGCCCCTTGTGCCTGGCCCCATTCTGCAGGGCCTCTCTGCCAGGCGCCAGGTGGAGGGGTTCTCCTTCAGATCCTGCCAGAGGTGGGTTGCTCCTGGTTTGGCCCGGGAGAACCTGTATTAGCGGCAGTGGGAGCCTCCGCCCGCCTGCCCGCGCCCATGTGCAGAGGCCTTGCGAGTGCCCGTGAGTGCGTGCAGGAGCATGCCTGAACCAGTAGTACAAAGATTGGCAACCCACCACTGGACCCTCCCCTCTGTTGCCCACCGTCTCCCTCTGGGCTCAGCAACTCTAAGAGGTCTCCAGGGGCAGACAGCTCCCCGAGACCCCCCCCAATCCCCTCAGGCCCTCCATCCCTTGGACCCCTCAGGCCCCACCCCTCCTCCGGACACAATGAGGAGCCAGTTTTCCTGCTGCTGTGGCCCCGAACCTCCCCCGGCCCCGTCGCGTCCGCAGAGGGGCACGAGGGGCCTTCCCTGGCAGAGGGGAAAGGGAGCAGCCGCCCGGGGTGGGGAGGAAAAGCCCCCAGCAAGACCAACAAACTGGCCAGTCAGATGCAAAAGCTCCCCCCCCTCCCCCCGGCTGCCGAGCGCCCACCGCCTGGGCCTTCTGGCAGAGCAGAGAGAGAAGCTGCATTGCCCTGCCACCGAGCGGCCTTTCACGCCTGGGAACCCTCCGTCTGGCTACACCGAGGCCGGCCGACAGGCACCTCCTGAGGGTCAGTCAGAGGGCTCGGTTGCTGCTGCTGCACGCAAACATCCGGGAGCTGCTTTTTCCAGGGGCCCCGCGGGTGCAATTGCCCCCCCCCCCTACGGCAGCTGTGCCGAGAGCCTCTCTGGCCAGGAGCAGCAGGACCTGGCGCTGCCCAAGGGCATCCACTGCCCAGCTCCTTCGGAAGGACTCGGCCAGGGCCGCCATGAGGGACTCGGCCTTTCGCTGGCCTTAACTCTCCAACCGGTCAGCAGCTCCTGGAAGGGGCAGCGGTCCGGCCTGCCTCGCCTGCCGTGGGTCAAGCCCAGAAGGGGCGTCACGGGGCCGAGTCCAAGCAGCCTTTGCCCACAGCCTCTGCCAAGGAGACGGCAGCGCCTCCCCCTCTCCCTCTGGTTGGCCAGGAAAGGACCGCTGGGCCCTCCTGCTGGCCAGGGGCTTCCCTCCCAGGACACGAGGGCCCGCTGGGGGCATCATGGCTCGTGGGGACATGCTTCTCCTGGAATGGGCCTGTGCCGCGGCTCAGGGAAAGGGGATTCACATCTCTCGTGCCCTGCCCAGGATAGACTGCCTCTAAAGATGGAGGTTCCATTCCCCTCATTCTGGAGGGTATCTCCTGGCCGACTGGAACCATCTCCTGGTCAGATGTACCCTCCCCCTCGGCAGCCCCCCTGCTTCACCCACACACCCTTCAGCAGGCAGGACTCCCCTCCATGCCAGCCCCCCCTTGTCCCCCCCCAATTCCCTCGGGGTCTTTGCAAGCCGAGCTGTCCGACCGAGGCCCCCAGCCGGAAGTGGCCCTGCAGGGCATCTCTGGCCAGGCTGGGATCCCCCCATGGGCTTTTCCACGGAAATTCCCAGCTCTGGGCTGGGAGAAGGGAAATGGGGGGGCGGGGGGGGGCAGCCACCTGGCTGAAGAGGCATAGCAGAGAAATTAAGCTACAAACCAGGCGAGAAAGGCCTGTCCAGGACAGTCAGCCCCCCCCAACCCAGCTGCAGGACCCCCCAAGCCAACCAAATTGCCCAGACCAGCCATGACTGGGGGGGGGGGGGGACACCAGCCGGGCACCAAGGAAATCTGCCCCCCTTGTTTCCCCTCCATATTTGGGGGGGGGAAGCCCTGTAGAAGGAAGGGAAGGAGGGGAAAAGGTGGGTGATTCTCCCGTGACTCCTTGGCTGACACGCCCCCACCCACTTGCCCTCGGCAACGGCCCCCACAGCCCTCCCCACGCCCCACGAGCTTCGGCGCTGCCCATTCACCGTCCACAGGGTCTCCATGCTGAGGCTACCTCCGTGCCCCGAGAGCTGCCCAGGGGCACGTGGGGCGAGGGGGGCAGGAGGCCGGCAGAAAGAAGCAGCCCACGCACCACTGTCCATTGTGCGAGGCAGCTCCCCCTTTCCCAGAGGAGGAAGCCGGCCCTAGAGGGCACAAGGTCGCAAGGCAGAAGGGGGGCAGGGGGGCAGCCCTCCCAGTGGGGAGCCTGCTGAGCCCTGCCCAAGGGCTGCCGGAGCCCAAGGGTCAGTGGGGTGGGCTGGAGGAAGCCAGGGGCCCCTGGCCACTCAGGAGGTCCACCAGTCTGATGGGCTCTGCTGGCCCAGCCCTTGCAGGGGGCTCCCTCCCCAGAGGCCCAGCTGGATCCCCTGCAGGAAAGAGCCCCTGCTGAACACAACACAACACACACACACACACACACACACACACACCGTCCTTCTGCAAGGAGCCTCCCCAGAGCCCAGGGCTCCTGCTTTGATGACACACAGGGGGCCCTCCTGTCACGAAGCCGCCTGCCAGGCCAACCGAGTCCGCCAGGTGAGATTTTCCACAAAGCNGGATAACCCTGGATATCCCCGATGCTGCCCAGGATGGTCCTGGCATCTTTTGAAGCACCTTGGCTCAGCTTGTGATCCCCCCCCCCATCCCCTCCGCCCCTTGTTCTGGCTTGCCCAGCTCCTCCTGAGCTTTCACGTTGCCCTCCAGGCGATCGTTGCCCCTCCACCTTTGCCTTGGCGGCGGATCTGGCACTCCTTCGGCCTGATGTGGCACAAGAGAGGCCACAAACGGAAGAGCCACTCCCGGGAGCTGCTTGCCAAAGGCCGAGAGGGGAGCCGCAGCCAGACGGGCTCAGCAGCGGGGGAAGAGGAGGCAGCCCCCGGAGCTCCGGACTCCCTCCCGAGCCCTCCTGGGAAACGCTGCCACAGCCACCGGCGCTGCTCTCTCACAAGCCGGCCGACGCCAGCCAGCATTTCAAGCGGCTGCACGCAGCGGGCCGGCTTCCAACCTGGCCCCTGGGCACGTGCGCGCCTGGCGAGCTCTCGGCGCAGACGGGGAGAGAGACGCAGCGCCGGCAGCTGCTCCCACCGCGCAGCCTTTCCCACGGCCCCAGCGCCGGCAGCCGCTTCCGAGGCCCGCGGAGCCCCAGCCACGGCTCCCCCGGACGTTATGGCTGGCCTGCCGAGCCCTCGTCGCCTCCGCCTGCGCAGAGCCGGCCTCGCAAAAGCTGCCGGGGCCGGTGGGACGGGCAGCCCTGCTGCGGCCCATTCCGGGCTCTGTCCAAACCCAGCGAACGGCTGGCCTCTTGGGCAACGGAGGGCCAGCTGGTCTCAAGCCTCGCAGCAGCCGGGAGGCAGATCCACGGGAAAGCGGGTGTGGGGAGCCCGGTCCCTACAGGGGACCTTGCCTGGCCGAAGGGGGGGCTGGAGAGAAGGGACCAGGCAGTCACTCCCCGTTCTTGAGAACTCGAGGGAGGCATCCGACGTGGCTCCTTCTGCAGGCCACACAACAGCCCTGTGAGGCAGGACAGCCCAACTCCTGAGCTCCATGTCCCAGAAGAGCAGCTTCCAATGGAAGCTGGGCTTGCGCAGTGGGGTCTCCTGCCCCATACCCAATGCCCCCTTGCTTGGCAGCTTCCCTTTGGGGCAAGAGCTCCCCACCAAAGCAAAGGAGGCGTCCCAGAGACCAACAGGGCCAGGTCAGCCACCGGGGTGGGGGGGTGGGGGGAGAGATTCCCTAGACGGGGAGCCTCCAGGGCACAGCAGAGTCTAGCTTCACCTTTCCCGCTGAATGGCAACGCATTTTGCTGCCAAGGAACAATCAAGTCAAAACTTGAGGATTAAACCCAGCTACTGTGGTGCCAGCTAATTTAATATCTAAATTAATCTGTTTTTCAACGGCTGTTGGAAGAGCATCACTGGCTGATGCTGACTGGAAACATGAAAGAAACCCACCGAGATAAGCACAGCGTTTTCTCACGAGGGGGAGGGGGCAGGGCTGCTCTCCTTCCAGGCTAATTGCAGCCTTGGGGTAGAATTGCTGATCTGGGCACCAGCAACTGGCAGAAACGGGGGTGCCTCATCTGCCACTCTTTCCCAGGGCGCCCCCTCCCCAGAGAGGCTTTCCCAGCTCTGAGGAGTGGGCTTCATCAGGGAGAGGCTCCTCCCCCCCCCCAAAGACTCGGCAGTCTAATGTTGCAAAGGGGGGGGCTGCCTGCCAGAGGGGGGCTGAGGGGACTTTCCTTGGATGCCACTTTCCAGGGGAGGAGCCCCCCAACTGTCTCCCAGGGGCTGCATCTCAACCCTGGAGGCAGGGTGACCAACCTGCTTTGGCCTGAAGGGTCCCCACCACCTGAGGGCCCCCTTGGCCCATCGCTTGCTGAGGAGGGGGCTCCCAGGAGGTGAGCACAGACTGCTCGGTTCCTGGCCCAACCCAGGAAGGAGACAAGCTCTTTAGCTGGGCCTGGGATGCACCAGCAGCCTCCCGCCTGACCCCCACCTGTGACAATGGGGGGAGGGGGGGGCTTTCCTTCCAAGCAGCCCCTCCCTCTGGGGGGAGCCCAGGAATAACAGAGTGACAAAAGGGGACCTCGGAGGTCTTCTAGGCCTCCTCCAGAGTCCCCACTTGGGACTTCCAAAGGGAAAGGAGCTTTTGCTGTTTCTTCTTTCTCTCCCTTCCGCCTCCCCAGCAGATCGTGTCAATCATGGCCGCAGCCCCTTGAGCAGCTTCTGACCTCCAGCCCCAGCCCCAATTCCAGCCTCTACCCAGCTGCTGCTGCTGNCCCCCCCCCGGCAACCCTTCCTTTAGGAGCCCCCAGTGGCCGGCCAAGAAGGCAAAGCACGGCTGGTGGAGAGAAACCCCAATGAGGAGGGCTCCTCCTCCTCCTCCTCCCTATTCCCGGGAGGGGTTTCCTCCACCTGCCCCGGCTGCCTCTCAGGAGCCTCCTGGAAAACGGATATGGACCGGAGCAACAGAGGAAATAATCAGGGGCCCTCGGGGCTCAAACCCTTGAAACCGTCTGCCCTCCGGATGACGAAAGGCTCATCGACATCGGCTGCTCAGGCTCCGCATCCCCAGGGGGCCCAGCCCCCCCCCCCCTGACTGCAGGGCAGGAAGCCTGGCCAGGTTTTAGGAGGAGCCAGAGGCCAGAGGCCAAGACCAGCCCGCCAGCCCTGCAAGGTAGTCCCAGAGAGGAAACTGGGCCCCTGAGTGGCAACGTTGCCTTTATTTTGAGGCTACAACAACAGAATCCGGCAAGTGCCGGAAAGTGCCCCCCCCCCACCTTTTCCCCAGAGATTTAGGGAGGGTCCCTCGGAGACGCTGCTCCACCCGCCCCTCCCTCTTCTCTCTCCTGGACTCAGACTACCCTCCCCCCCCCTTGTCCCCCAAAGTTATTCTCACAGCCTGCGAGAGCCCCCCCCCCAGTGCTCCTCAGCCTTGTCCTTTGGGGGGAGAAGGGGTCCTTGGCAGGTTCTCCTTGAGCCAGGGGGCTTGTAATTGAAGTTATGCCCTCCCCTCCTTCCCCACTCCTCAGGCAACAGGCAGCTGCTGAGACCAGGACTGGGACTGGCCCCACGGACCCCTGGGCCCACGGCCTCCTCCGGGCTGCTTCTGCTCCCCTCCAGTCGGAGCCATCAGCTCACCGGTCTCCCCGCCTCTCTTTGCCCCCCCCTTCTGGCCAGCCCCCTTGTTGGGCCATCCGGAGGGAGGGTGAGCCAGGGGGTGCATGCAAGGGGGAGGCTGGCAGAGCCTTACCTGTCGAGGAAGGCCTTCCCTCAGACTCCGGGGGCACCGCAGGGGCTGCCTTCCTAAAGGGGCCAGAGCAAAGGCAGGAGTCAATTGGGGAGGGGTCTCCCAAGGATCAATACACCTACCTGGCCTGAGCAGCCAGCAACACGGGTGAAGGGGGGGACGGGGGGGGGAGGGGTCAGTACCGTTTGCACCGGATGCCAGGACAGTCTCCGTGGCTGGGCTCCCCCTGCAGCCGAGGGGCTTTTATAGAGGAGCCGCCTCCAAGGCTTGGGGCTGCAACTCCCACCCATGGGGGTCTTGTGCCAGGGCAGAGAGGGGCCACCCCAGATGCTGGACGGTGGCTCCCTCTGCGTGGACCCTGTGGCCCACGTCCCAAGCTGCCGAGGGGGAAGGGGGGGGGCAGAGGCCAGGCAGCCCCGAGAGCTTCCCTGAAGCAGAGGCGGAATCCAGGGGGAAGGTGGGGTTCAGGGGAGGGTCCCCCAGCAACCACCGAGGCTCCCTGGGGCCACCCCAAAGGAGAAGCAGGAGGACGGAGAGAAGGCCCGGGGGGAGGGGGGGAGCGGTTGCCCTTCAGGCCGGTTCCTTCTAAAGAGAATCCTTTTGCAAGGAAGGGGTGGAGGGTCTCTAGGGCCCCCCCTGGCCAACCACTCTGGCCAGAATACGAGGACTGAAAGAAACAAAAGTCACATGGGGACAGAGAAAGTGGAGCCTTCACATTGAATGGCCCAACTTCCCAGAAGCCCCCAAAGACAAGGGGTCCCGAGGGAACCAGTCAGGGAGTCCAGAGCCCCATTGCAACTGGGGGGGGGGGGTTGGGCCTTTGGGGGGGGTGAGCCCGAGGGCCGAATAAGCTGCCTTCCGAAAGGGGGAGGAGCCAGTTGGTC